GATTCTTATCGAACGATTTAATCAATTTTGTCAATCCATGAGTTTACAACATATACGCAATCCCATTTATCATCCCCAGTCCAATGGACAGACTGAGAGATTTGTGAATAGTTTCAAACTTGCTCTGTTTAAACTTAAGGGAAAGGGGGATATTGCTACCAACTTGATGTATTCTTACGCATATATCGTTTAACCCCGAATCCTGTTCTCTCAAACCGGCAATCACCGTCGGAATTTTTCATTGCTCGACGGATACGCATACCCTTAGATGTCATGTTTCCAGCGAAGCAGACTAATGAGTGTGAGCAGAAAATGGCAGATAAGTTCAATCGTAAGCACGCTACTCGCATGAGATATTTTCATCCCGGTGACCCACTTTGTGTATAAGTACAGGGATACACATAAAAGTTGGATTCCAGGAATTGTCAATGCAAGAAAAGAATGTCCTGCATGAAGTGGAATGTCAAAACCGATTGACTACACGTCATGTGAATCATATCAAACATGGTTATACACCCGAACAGGTTAAGTAAAATGACACTACAGAGATTCCCTTACACATTCTGTTAGACATTTTCTCTGTCCAAGCCAATGAAACCACAACCAGAGCAACGCGTTGGTGTGAGCACAGAAGTGGAACTGGAACGAAGACATTCTACACGTACACGCCCCCCACTTCAGTGACTCAGTGTCATTCCGAGCAAAAGATCTCAAGTGTACCCATTTATTTTTAACCGAGGAGAGTGTTAGAGAGCTCACGGATGTCAGCCACACAGATAGTACGTGAAAATCGATCGATTTCCAGTGGGTGTTTGTATATTAGCTTGGAAGTTTCAGCCAACCACATGGCACATCAGCATCGATTGGTTTCGACCAAGTATGTAGTTGCGAATTTTGAGCGGTTCTCCGAGCTGAGTGATTATTGTGCAGACGTTTCGTCATAAGGCTGAAACCAACATATTCAACGCCGCTGAACGAAAAGCTCTGGAGGACCTCAAGAAAGACAAGAGCATAGTTATACTGCCGGCCGACAAAGGACGCCTTACTGTTATAATGGACAAATCTGATTACATGATGAAGGCACAACACCTAATCAGTGATACCAACACATACCAGTCGATAAACGAAGACCCGACAAAACGCTTAGAAGGCAACATCAGACGCACTCTGCAGAAACTGTAACAAATTGGAAAAATTACAAAATTGGAACACAAGAGGATGCGACCACAAGACTCCGTAATACCGCGGTTCTATGGCTTACCTAAAGTACACAAAAGCGGAGTGCCGCTTCGCCCGATGGTGTCGTTACTTGGAGCACCAAATTACAGGCTTGCAAAGGAGCTCTGGAGACGGCTAAAACACTTAATCGCGGGATCGGAACAGTCGATCAACTCGGCAGAACAGTTGCTTGAGAAACTTAAAACTGCAGCCATTGAACGAGACGAAATTATGGTCTCTTTTGATGTTACCGCCTTGTTCACTTCAATCGACATTGGCTTGGCGAAACAAACAATGACGCGCCTGCTAGAGGAGCACACGACGTCTGATACAAACAGTGAACCCGAACCCAAACAGATGATGGAGTTATTGGAATTCTGTCTAACAACACATTTCACTTTCAATGGCCAAATTTACGAACAGATAAGAGGCACACGAATGGGATCGCCGATCTCTGGTCTATTAGCCGAGGCAGTGATGCAGGCGCGGGAACAAATAGCACTTCCGATCGCGAGACCAAAACTTTGGATACGATACGTAGACGACACCTTCGTCATCCTCAAACGTTCCAAATTGGAGGAAACACACGAACTAATCAACAGTGTGTTCGATGGCATCCAATTCACCAGGGAGGAGGAGAACAACGAACAGTTACCATTCTTAGACGTTCTCATACGACGGACCGGTGCTGGATGATTGGAAACAACAGTCTACCGAAAATCTACGCATACGGACCAGATCCTCAACTACGGCAGCAATCATCCGGCAGCCCACAAAGGCAGCTGCGTGTAAACCCTTTTTAAATGACCACAAATCCATTGTAGCACACCGCAGCTGAGACGGGCAGAGGAAGATCATCTCTTCCACCTGTTCAAGCGGAACTCGTACCCAAAAGGCTTCATTCTACGCTGCCTCGCATCACAAAATTTGTTCGACACACCTCGACAAAGGTAACAGCTGAAAAGAGAACAACATTGCTCTATATCAACGGTATCTCTGAAATGGCAGCGAGGCTTTTATTGCCTTTTGGAGTCAAAGTTGCACACCAGCCAACGAAAACCATTCGCAGTAAACTCTTCAAAGTGAGAGATAAACTTAGCAAAGAGGACGAAACTGGTGTGATTTATAAGATCTGCTGCCGGAACTGCGACAAATACTACGTGGGACAGACTGGGAGAAAGCTTGGCACAATGCTACACGAACACAGCCTAGCAATACGTCGCCACGATCAGAACACCCTGATGCCAGTGCATATGGATGCCGAGAACCATCAATTCGACCTAGAGCATGCCAGTATCCTTGAAAGGGCTAAAAGCCGACAAGCAAGTGAGTTCATTGAAGCCTGGCATTCAAAGCAGAACTCGATCAATAAGCACTTGGACATTGAAGTCGCTTACGAGGCACTGCGAACCAGGCCCCTGAAGCCCCACTGATGATGTTGCTTAGTCAGGCAACGAAAGGTCTGCACAATAATCACTCGGCTCGGAGAACCGCTCAAAATCCGCATCCACACCCCGAGCTACGGTTATTCTCATTTATTTGAAGTGTGTAGTTGACGGCTTTCCCGGACAGTTGGTAGTAACATCAGTTGTGCACGTAAAAGTTCTCAAGCAGTGTCAGTTCTATGTTCTTACTACTAATCGGGAGTCATAACACTAAGCGCGGTGTTAAGTGGTTTTGGATTAATGCAGACACGTAGTTGTCCAGATTTATTAATGATAATCGCCACCTGGTTAACCCAATCGGGCTGATCCTCCACTTTGGCTATTACACCCAAACTAGCAAGACGCTGCAGCTCGTCTAAAACATTCTCAAGTGAAACGATAGGCACTTTTCTGGTCGGCAACACTACCGGATTAGCGGATTCGGTTAAAGATAAATGAGCATACCCTTCGAATCTCCCTACAACCCAGTCAAACACGCTTGGGTACCTGTCAACAATATCTATGCTAGCTTCAGAGGAATGGAAAATCTTTCATGGGTAAAAGAAACAAATCCGAAACGTTGAATAGAATCAATGCCCAAAATGAACATAAGGTCTCCTGAGACCACCAGGAAATCCTGTTGGTGTTCTGTGCCGTTTCTCGGATTGATAGCCTTCACCGCAGCAGTACCTTTCGGGCGCAGTTTCGAACCGTTCCATATTCTGGGGCAATTCTGCGTTCTGTCACATGTCACTCCCAGACAGTGCTTCTCAGATAGGATTTTGGCAGTAGCCCCTGAGTGCAGCTGGAACCGCACCGGTCGTCCTCGAATCAAAGCATCACGAAAACACACTCGTGTTCTCCACGATTTTCCAAGTTGTTTATCAAAAACTCCTATATCTCTTCGTTGACGTTCTTGACCAATGAGCTGACCTTGGCGGATCTACAACGGCGAGCGAAGTGGTTCTTCTTGGAACGTTTTGCACACGTTCGACACCAAACCGGGCAACTCTTTTTTCTTCTTGGATGTGTAGGACCGCAAAACTGACAACTCGGACCCTGTCCTTCGGTGTCTGGGGTGGACTATTGCTGGTTCGGGATACCGCGCACAGATCGGTGTTTGTTTTGGCTCTCCCATGCTCGAACTTCTGCGCCGTCCTTGCTTCACTCAGGCAGATGTCCACACATTGTTCAGAAGACAGGTTCCTTTGTCTCAGAAGGCGACAAGTGAGCTCATTATTATGCCGATGACAATGTGCTACCGTATCAAGGACTCGCTCATGCGATTGCAGGAGTTGCAGTTACGCAGCGACATTTCCAGTTCTGTGATTTAAGTCTCGAACGATTCGCTTGGGGATCGATTGCGGCAAAAAATAAATACATTGATAGGTTTCATTTGCCTGTCCTTCGCAAAACGCCCCGAATCTTCTCAGCACTTCCGAAAGCTCGACTTCCTCACCTGCCTCGCTCAGCTTCAGTGTCTCGAGCACCCTCCTGGCTTCATCACCCACAGCGTGCCTGAACATCGCCAACTGGTACGCCATCGGTTGAGTATCCAACTGGGTCAGCGTGACGAAATCCATCCACTTCGCCTTCCACATTCTCCACTTCTCTGGCAACGTGCTTTCAGTCATCTGCAGAGCGGTTGGTAGTGTGATCGATGGCTGTCCACGAAAAACCAGCGGGTACCGGCGCGTTGGCTTCCTCTCCTCTGTCGCCATGTTGTGCAGCCCTCCGTGAAGCAAGAAGACGGCCGCGATCACAAAGTTGTTCATTAAGCTTACGCTCGCATATTTATAGACTATATACACTATTTGCAACAGTCCGTTTCACTGACTCATCCTTGTTATTTGCATTCTGTCGCTGGCTCCCTTGACATTGATTTACGCTTGCACGCCACGTTATTCTGTCTAAAATTACCTTAGCTTTCTTGGTGGATTGTACGATTGGCTCGATTGGACACTCGTCCATCAGGACGCGCGCTTCTTCGCTCGGTCCAATCCCGGAAAACTTGGCTCAAATACGCACCAATAAGCTGCTCACGAGTTTACGCTTCTTCGCCCCTGCTTTTGGAACCTGCTGGCGCCTGATTGGTCACTTGCACATCCAGTGGATAATTGCTGGTTGTGCTTGCAGAGCTCAATGCAGATGTGCGCCAACCATTTGCGGCTTGGCAACGACATGATCACACTCTATGGGGCTGCACTATACCTGTCTGATACTGCGTGACTTCACGGGGACATCATGATTTCGGGCGCATGCATAGTAGTTGCGCTATTAAACCTCGGTTGTATGAATAGTAAGTATCATTATATTTGTGTGAACTAATTTCGACTCGATACTTGGTGCCTATTGCAGGACTCTGATGTATATATTTGCCGGGCTATCTTACCTGTGCCAAACGCCTACGGCAGTTCAAGGGAAGAAAGGATCGACGAAGGTTATCTGCGAGTCAATGTGACACTGACTCCTCGCCTCATCCCTTTGAATACAATGCATCAGTTCGTCGATGTTGGTGAGATATTTTCTGGTATATACATAATACGGAGCTGCATCTTTCATACAATTTTTACCTCATCCATTTTTATGTTACCATTTGCTACCGTAATAGTCTAGTAAAACAAATCGGCCACCCTATTTGGACTGCAAAGCTAAGTTTCCGAAGAAATGTGGCGCTGTTTATGCCATTACTTGAGTATTTGTTGCACATGTTGATTCTGCAAACTCAGGGGGTACCGGTTAAGAGGACATGTTGATTTTCGTCTCTAGCCTGAGGTGGAGGTACTTCCGGCGAACGACCTCCTTGGTTTTAAAGAGGTTTGGAAACAATCGGTTTGTATAGTAGTTTGGTAACATTTCGCCCTCGACACAAGGGCTTCGTCAGACCATGGGAATCAGTGTGCAATTGGTGTGGGATTTTCTAGCGAACAGGGGCGATAACCGCGTTACCCGAGACTTGAGCCATGATGTCATTACAGTAACAGTTCGTGATGTCATATCAGATGGTTCAATCACAGTGGGAATAGTCCAGATGTTCATTTGTGGGACATGACCTTGACGGATAAGCCCATAGTGTTGACAGTGGGAGTCGGTTTGCACTTTCCAACCTGATCCACACACTGATGCTCGTCAGGCTGGCCGGCTTAAGACCGTCCGCCACGCATTAGGGAGTTCTACCCCCTCAATTCTATTCATGCAGTCGTCAGATTTGGCAATTTCCACGGCCTGGGCAATCAACCGCTGAGGGGTTGATCGTATACCCTTCCTAATGACCTCTACGTTTTCGAGGTTTACCTGGTGACCCGTGTCTAACGCATTCACAGCTACGGCCGATTCTCTTACTATTGCCTGGTATTCAGTCTCGTTCCTTGGTGGTCTTGAAATGCGCCTCTTGTGCTCCGAAATTCTTGTGCGTAATTCTCTCGTTGTTTTGCCTATGTACGCATGTGCACAGTCTTCACATTTAATTTTATAAACACAGTTTGTCGTCCTATCTTTGGGCAGGGTGTCCTTCAGGTGTACCAGCGCCGAAGGTAACGTTTGGCCTCGCTGAAATATCACCCTTATATTTCCCTTGTTTTGTACCCTCTGAACTGCCTCCGAAGTGCCCACAGAGGCTAGTCAAGTGTCAATTGCATAAAGTGCTACACCGGCGGTCAAGACCCACAACTGAGTGGATAGTGACGGTCGGAATTCCGTACAAGGAAGGTCAAACAGCGAGAGAATTACGCACAAGAATTTCGGAGCACAAGAGGCGCATTTCAAGACCACCAAGGAACGAGACTGAATACCAGGCAATAGTAAGAGAATCGGCCGTAGCTGTGAATGCGTTAGACACGGGTCACCAGGTAAACCTCGAAAACGTAGAGGTCATTAGGAAGGGTATACGATCAACCCCTCAGCGGTTGATTGCCCAGGCGGTGGAAATTGCCAAATCTGACGACTGCATGAATAGAATTGAGGGGGTAGAACTCCCTAATGCGTGGCGGACGGTCTTAAGTCGGCCAGCCTGACGATCATCAGTGTGTGGATCAGATTGGAAAGTGCAAACCGACTCCCATTGTCAACACTATGGGCTTATCCGTCAAGGTCATGTCCCACAAATGAACATCTGGACTATTCCCACTGTGATCGAACCACCTGAGGTGACATCACGAACTGTTACTGTAATGACATCATGGCTCAAGTCTCGGGTAACGCGGTTATCGCCCCTGTTCGCTAGAAAATCCCACACCAATTGCACACTGATTCCCATGGTCTGACGAAGCCCTTGCGTCAGGGGCGAAACGTTACCAAACTACTATACAAACCGATTGTTTCCAAACCTTTCTGAACTCATGACTGCTCAATCGGCTCCAAGTATCTTCCAAGAATTTGAAGCCTCCTTGGTTGTTGATACGAAGCCACGGCACAGGTTTGAGATTGAAGCTCTTCTGCTACTAGCGCGTCAACATATTGCGCTATTTTACTGGTTTAGTAACCACTGTATACTCACACAAAACAGGACAGAATAACTAAACGTGTATCGAAAGAAAGACACCCAGGTAAGCAAAATAAAGGTGAAGCAGCGACCTTGTACTGTGGATGGCTACTCATTTCGGATGCAAGAGTCCCTATTCGCTTACTGCTCACCGCATGCCAGTGGCAAATCGTCAGTAACTATGTTCTTGCGCGATTCTTGTTCCAAAACAGCGAAGTAAATCAGATGGCCAATTTGCTATGCACACGGGATTCCAAGATGGAGCCTTTCGCAGAGTTCCTTGTTATTTCTTATTCGGGTGTGGACTGGAGTGCGTCATCGGTGGGTCATCGGCGCGAGCTCGTTGGATTGCAAAATCTGCCTAGTCCAAAATCCGGACGATAGGACATTTCCTTCGCTGCTGGCCTGACGGTACACACCCCAGTCCACGACCAAAACGGACCTCCCTCTCGTTGGCAGCACGTAGCCAGGCTTTTGGGTTGCAATCTGGTTGCATCCATCCGCGGCCAAGGAAGACTAGTTATCACTTGGGTCCCGGAGAGCCTAGAGCCTATTGGCGAGTAACTCGGGGTTGCCTTGGCTGTTCTGGTAGTAAGATTCCGCAAGGTAGAACTCAGAGGAGACGGGCAAAGGTTCAGGATGTGCCTTGACGCCGGAGAGGGAACCTTGTGTGCAGGATAAAAGCAAACACGCTATTTTGGATTTTTCAAAATGTTTTTGGCGTCTTTGTCGATTTTAAGCCGATTTTATAGGTGAAACGCAAGATTGCCGCAAAATACGAAATACGGACGTATTAGTGGAAATAAAAAACGTAGACAAAATCACTCAAACGGACCGGATTGTTGACCTGGCTACCGCGTCGCTCGTGAAAGCAACAGGATTGGTCGGAAGTGGGCCATAAATAAAAGCCACTTTGATGTGGTCGACGCACACCGTTGTTCGGTGACTATTCTCGTCTAGGGTGAAATGCTTTGAAATTCGTTGCAGAGGTCTGAAAGGGCCAGTGTATGGGGGCTGGAGAGGGCGCCGCATTGTCAGTGCTGACGAAGTGATGGGTGTAAATTGGGTCCGCTGTGCAGTTGCACATCTCTTGTCTGCTTACAAGGTGAACTCAAGGAAAAATTAATAAGCGAGGGCTTGACAAGCCACGTAGGACGATCGGAATGAAGATTAGGAAATACAGATTAAAATTGACAGATAAAAGGGGAAATTCGGGTTACCTTGACTCACCAAGTTATTCACGTGAACACATGCTGGTTTCCCCGTCGCTTAGTTACGGAGATGGCTGGTGAGCACACTTTTTGGCTTGCATTATTTCGTCCCCCGATTGAAACGGACTAAGTCACTGAAGGTAAATGGGATTAGCATCAAATCAAAAGGAGTACATCCGCCACTTGAGCTGATGCTCCGCTGTCATACTGTCATCACTACCTACGATACGAAGAATAATAAGAGGGAGAGGAGGTGGACTTACCGGAAAACCTTAGTGCTCCAATGAAACATTCAGGGTCAATGCGCCCAGACAATGTCAACAACAAAGCTTCACAAACAGGTGGCTATCGTGCAAAGATAAGGCGGCATCGATGAGACAGTTTCTTTGCGGTTTTCACTGCTTCGCCTCATAATGAGACATTACCCCGCACATAACTCAGCATCAGACACACATTAAACAGCCTGTCCGACCAAGAGACAAGAGCAGACGCGCAACTGGTGCCGACTATGAGCCATGTCCTATAACGTCTCAAGCCAACCACAAGGCGCGTCTCGGAGACTCCTGCCTGAAAGGCAAGACGGATCGACGGTACCGAGTTGGGTCGTCATTGACCAATTCCCGCTGCCAATTCACCTTCTGTCCACCTCGGGTATTTTGCCACCCGATATCTGGTAGACTAAACAAGGTCCTCCTAGGTGAGGGGTGACAAGGCATACATAGCACATGCCCAAACCAACGTAACTTGTTCAGTGCTATCTGTTGCTCTAACGAACTAGCTTGATTATCACTGCCTACCAATCGTCTACGCACATTATTGTTGCGGGCACTCTGGTGCCATCCGACACCAACAATGCTTCACAGACAGCGATGATTGAAGACTTGAATGGGCCTCAGATCCTTAGATCGAAGGGGTTAAATCTCACTCCATAGATTAGGACGGCCCTTCCTGTGGCCTTTTAAACAAAGGCTTTCAGACAGAGGGAAATTACTTTCCATCACCAAAGGTGTTGCAGATTCAACAAAGCAGTTCTGGCTTTCTCATTGCGTGAACTGCCTTCACTGCTTATGTACCTATCATAGCTGAGGTACCTGTTAAGGTACGTGAATCGATCAATTACTTCGGATTATTGACTATCAATGGTCAGGGGATCATCAAGGGCTGGTGGTCCCACAAAAATAAACACTGCAATTTTCAGGTGCGAATCACATGCCAAATGATGTGACCATACTAGTGATGATATTCCGGGTTGATTGAGCCGCCCCGCGTCGTGAAACTGTAAGACAATATCGCCCGCATAATCAGATAACCTCTCACCACGCAGCACTTTAAGGCCTGCATCGGGAGATTCTGCAAGCGAACAATCCATGATGGAGTCCACGACGAAGTTGAGGGAAAAGGGAAATTGTACAAACCTAATGAACACAATTTGTTGTCGGAAAGTTATCCAATAACTCACTGTAGATTCGGAGGCGGCCTGTGGTGTTCTAGTAAAGGGCAAGTAAAATGTTCGTATACTTTGTTGGCACGATTTTCACACAAGTATATCTAACACAATTAATCGATCGGCTGGGTCGAACGGCATAACTAGTGGTACTTGCGGAGACAACCATATTAGTTTTTGGGTCGTCACGTCAGACGCATGAGCTTTCTTAATGATTCTAGGCGCGTCCTTACCTGAAGGTGATCGAAACAATGGGCACGTTTTGTCCAGTGATTCTTCATTCCTTCATTCATTATAAACGTTAGCTGCAGGTGGAAAACACCTCAGCTATTGTACCGCAATACAAAAGACAAGAAAAAGAGAAAAAACAGTGGCACGCC